GGACGTACGGTGGCATTATGACGGCAGTGCCGTCGTAATGGGCGCTGGCGACCGTTTTCGTTTTCCCACGCCCTCACGCCAGAAAACCTCTATTTTTTGCGCGCACTCCCGAGCAAAAAACGTTCTGCTCCCTAACCCTCACCCTAACTCCGCGCTCGCGCGGAGCCGAAAAATTGAAATTAAATGCGAAAAATACCCAGAATATTCAGCCATCAGCCACCCACCACTCGCAACCCCTAACCCCAAATGCCCGGTCGCTTGCGGCCCACAGCCTGCCACGCACCAAAGTCTAGCCAGAGTCTAAGTCTGACTGGCCCATTCGTTCAGCCTATATATCGCAGCAATTTGTGAGTCTTTCTCCTGACGACCCCATCTGCCACTGAGCGTGCACCCATAATGAGCAAACCCTCAACCGCTTCTACGCCAAAGCTGTCGTCTCAGCTACCGTCAAAGTCTGCCTGGTCCAAGGGCCTGCCAGCAAACACAGCGACAGCGCCGTTTACCTGTCCGCAATCTCCCGCTCCTTCAGCTGCCGCTCCTTCTGCACCACCTACGCACTCTAGACGATTGAGCACATTGGGACAGGGTGTTGCGTTCAAGGATGCAGTAGGAGCCCAGAACACAGCGACTCCCACAAAATCAGGTACGTCCCACCCACGTCTGTCGGGTGTGCTCCGTGCGATCTCACCCAGGCACAGGCTCATCAGTGACCTTCGGGTTGATAGACGATGCAACCACTCCCATATCCTCCTCCCCTGCAGCGGTGCCGACGATCAAACCTGAGGGGATAAAGTCGTCAGCTCTGTGCCAGCCTTGACCTCAAACGGAAAAGGCCATTCTCGGACAACGTTGTTCTCAACAGGTACACTCCCGTCTGTGGTGGCCTCTACCTCTACCACACCCTCCACCTCTACCGCAGCCTCAGGCTTGGCTTCGAAGCCCAGACCTCCAAAATTTGACATCAGGAGTCTTTTCCAAAAACCGAGCCAAGATGGACCATCAGCGTTGTCGTCATCCGCTGATGTTACCTCTCCTGTGATCCGCTCGCCAAGCTTCCCTCGACAGATGCCCAACGGCAACCACCAATGCCGAATGGTTGCGCAGGCAGCACGGGCGCAGGTGCGGGCATGGGTGGGCGAGCGGGAGGCAGGCGGGTGTGCATGTATATACGTAGAGATGAAATATATTTCGTGTGACCTTGACCTCTGCGTGTGTGCGTTGTGTGTGCATTGGCGGCTCGCGGTGGTGGTGCGCAGTGGGGGCGTGGTGCGGTGCAGGACTTGGTGAGCCAGTGGGGCTGGACGAGGGCGGCGGTGGGTGGATCTCGGGGAGCACATTGGATCTGCTTGACTGCTAGGGAAATAACTACGGACTCTGCGTGTTCAGTGGGGGCTTAGGAGGCACCAGTGCGTGTTCAGTGAGTACTAGTAGGTGCTGTGAGAAGGAGCATAGGGTAGCACTTAGGGGAGCAGGAGAGCAGGGGAGCAGGGGAGATTCACACTCGCGCGCTGGGGCTCGCACAGGAGGTCTCGAAAATGCAGAGGATCGTATTAGACACTACGGACAGTACACGGGCGCATTTTGCATGGGGGACGACCGAGAACTGCCCGTCCAGAGCACTTCACGCACTCAGACGCACACGGGCACCTAATCCCGCACCTCTCGAGACACTGCAGAGTCTCAACGCGCTGCCACTCTGCTTCCACACGGCCCTTGTTGTGCGCGGCATGTGCGGACGCGTTCTGGGGACGTGTTCACGCCCTCAGACACCGAATATGCGCTGTGCCTGCTCTGAGTCAGTCGGAATCTGCAGGAGAGGGCTGCAGCGAGTACATACCGCGTCTTCGGCGCGCATGGGCAGTCTGTGGCACCAGGAGCGAGTGGAGCGGGTGCGGGAAACGACGGTGCTCGCTGCGCGTCCGCGAGGGTATTCGCCATGGTTGAGTCTTTGCGGGATGCATTCGACGAACCCATGAGACAGTGACAGAGTGCGTGAGTCTGCGGTTCCACGCCAGCAAGACATCCTGCATGCTTGAGAGTGCCTGAGCAAGCGTACTGCAGTGTCAGCCGGCCCGTACCAATGTCGAGAAGGGAAGATGCTCACCCCGCTGTCCCAAACAACCTCGCCAAGCCCGCACCGGTCTTGTGCAAGTGGGAGTATCCCGTATGCCCGGGGGTCGAAATTGTTCCCTGCTACTATTTAGGTATAGGTTTATGGCAAACAAGCAAATGACTCACTGGTTTTCTCGTATCCTGCGCTCTCTGGAGCGCCCGGGAGACGATGCACATGGTCCAGGGCCGGCAATGTTGTTTGCGGTGCCGTATCTGGTGTGTTCTGCGTGAGTGGGCATGGGCGCAGATCCCAAGGGGTCGCGGGATGGCCAGAGTGGACGCCACAACGCTCGGCGCCGTTCTGCGACTCACAGGCGCCTATTCCAACAGACATCGAAACAGTCCAGTCCTTCTCGCCCGCTGCGACTCTGCTTCTGATAGCGACCTTCGACGTCTGCTATGCGTGCTCATTCCCGCTTTGGGGCTGCCGGCTACTTTGCTCGTCCTCTGTGTCCTCCGCCGCCTTCAATCTACCCATGCAAGTCAGCCAGCCGACGTGTTCGCGCCCTCTGACGCTGAATATATATGCACTGTGCCCGCTCAGAGTCAGTCGGAATCTACAGGAGAGGGCCGCAGCGAGTAGGTACCGCATCTTTGGTGCACCTGGGCAATCTGTGGTGCCGTGAGTGAGCAGTGCGGGCGCGGGAGATTGACAGCGCTCACTGCGTGTCCGCTAGGGTGCTCGCCATGCTCGTCTGCGCAGGGCGCAGTCGACGAATGTGCGAGACTGCGGAAAGGTGCGTGGGTGTGCGGTTCAGCACCGGGGAGACATCCTGCGTGCTCGAGACCTCTGGCGCGGGCATACTGTGTTGTTAGCCGGCCCGTACCAAAGTTCGGAAAAGAGAGACTCACCTCGTTATTCCAGAACTGTCAGTGTGCGCCGGTTTCGGGCAAGGGTGCACGGGAGCCCGCCGTTGCAGTTTCGCGCGGCCTAGATGCAATGCCAGCGCGCCAGCAGTGTGGCGAGCGGTGCAGCGGCCGGCAAGGGGAAGAGGGCCGCGGACCTTGTCGAGGGCGTCCTGAGTGCGTAGGCGATGCCATCGCATCGCGAGCATCATGTCCATGCTCCATAGATACCCGTCTCCGCGAATGGCGCTCGCCAGGCCGAAGGAGCGGTGTCGAGATACGCCCGTCCCCGCGCCGCCGACTCCCCCGCCACCAAAAGTGCGAAATTGAAATGCACCGTGCGCGCCCGCATGCGACGGATGACGACGCAGACCGTCCCCAGGCATGTCCCTATCGAATATCGCGGCCAGAGGGTGGGAGGGGCAGCTGGGGCGTGGATTTTGTGCTCCTCACCGAGCGTGATGCAATGAAATTGCCCGTGAACGCGAATATATTTTCTGCTCCAATCGGTGGGAGACCGCGTGTGCATGTGCGTACTGGTCAGTGGGGGCCGGCGTCGTTGGCAGGGAGCCGGAGGGCGCAATTTGCGCGTGCGGGAGGCTGGGCGGGGTGGGCGGGGAGGTCGGGGTGTCTGGGGTGTCTGGGGTGCGTGGGGTGTGCAGGGGGCGCGAGCTTGGGATATGTGCGTCTTGGGAGCAGGGCTGACGTCTGAAAAGTGGGTGGGGGGCGCGGCGCGGCTGTGGGGGCAATGGGCGCGGACTTGGCCGTGGGTGCCGATAGTCGAGGCGGGCCGTTCTTGTATGCGGCGGTTGTGCGCTCTGCGAAGCGCGGCACATGGTGGGGGGAGGTGCGGTGATGCGCTTGAGGGTGTTTTGCAGTCTTCATGTCGAGATTGGAGTCAGTTATGAATATTTTTGCACGGGGGATATCTAAAAATGCGAAATTGTCAGCGCAATTTGCGGCAGAACCGGCTGAAAACGTACACCGTACGGAGGAGATACAATACACATCGAGTGGCATAGAGCTGGTAGCCATACACAAAGGTGTTGGGACGCCAGAGAGAGGCGGGGCTGGTTTGGGGCCGCCAGCGACCCAGGCATCGTTCCTCGCGCCGGACGCATGCGGCGACTTTGCGCGTCCCACAGTGTGTTGAAGCGCACATAGTGAGCACACATCCAGCTTCTGGGTGGGTCCATCGAGGGGCTCGGGTGGTAGACCGCCATGTTGGATGCATGGGCGAGCGCGCATTCCCGACACCGCCGACGCCGCTGTTCCGCATTGCCCCACAAACGGCATCGTGGGCACGTCGTAGGCGTGCATGCGCACGTTTTTCACGATGCGCACAAGGTGCACCGCGCGGTGTGGCGTGGACGTTCGCGATCTCGTGCGCGGAGGGGCTGTAAACGGGACGTTGTCAGCGGAGGTCGCGTCCAGAGGGTCTGTGCACGCACGTGGAGGGAGGGTGGAGTCATATCGACGACGTCGTGGACAGTTCGCGCGCGCTGCGTAGAGTGGGGTGGTGGAGGAGACTGCGGAGAGCGCTGGCGGGGTCGTCGGAGTGATGTGTGGCCCGCGAGCGGAGGACGGCGGCGGCAGCTTCGCGCACGCAGAGGAGCTATCCTATAGGTACCCGACGTGTGCTGTAAAGTTGTGGGATGGGGGCGTGCATGTTTGCGGGTGGTGGCCGTGGATGTTGAGGGTGAGCGCGGGCGCCCGCTGTCGACGATGCCACAGCCGCAGTTTTGATTTGCGCCGCAAACAGCGTCGTGGGCCTGCGTAGTCGGTGTATGCGTGTCGCTTGTACGCTTCAGGGAAGGTGCACAATGCAAGATGCTGCGGGTGTTCATGATTTGAAGCGCGGGCTGCCTATAAACCGGACACTGTCAGCGGAAATCGGATCGGGAGCGGCTGGGGACACACCGGAGTAACAAAGAGAGTCGTCTGTGCAGCGTAGTGCATGATGCATGAGCGTCGGCGAGAGAGGGACAGCCCCAAAGAGGGTGGAGGGGCGTAGGAGGGCGCAAGAATCCTCCAGAAATGGCACATGCAGGACGTCGGCGGCGACTTAGCGGAGAAGCAGGCACATTGTTCCGGGTCTGATTGACATCCACAGAACGTCAGAAGCGCGGGCGTCGAGTTTTACGGATGGCAGGTGGGTGCGAGCGAGTCGGGTACACCGAGGGCGATAGCAAAACGCGTTCGTCGCGGCGCAGCGTGGGCCCTCGCGAGCATGTAGAGATGATGTAGACGAGCACTTCTCCGTTGTAAACCTAGTGTGCCTCGCGCGACACGGCGTCGCTGTGGGCGGAATAGAGGGCGGGCGCGCAATGAAACGATCGCTGTGAGTGCATTTCGCATGGGAACAGGCTGGAAACTCACTCGAATGGCGGGGAATGTTGCAGCTATCGAGTCGTGCCGAGTATGTGCAGCCGTCAAGAGTACGAGCGACAGTGCAACGTGAGGAGGGATAGCGGAGGCGCGAACAGTGGGCAGCCGATGGCGCGCGAAGTACGTTGATGGCGCCTTCGCGATCTCGCGAGCGTGTTCATGGAGAGCTCAGCCGTGGATTCCCAGGTGTCCTGGGTGGGGCATCGTGAATACGAGTGTGCAGCGTCGTCTGAGAGCGGAAGGAAGAAGGCGGTGAGTAAGCCCAACGGGACGCCGTACTCACTCCGAGCTCACTCCGAGCCGGGAGGCGTCACAGAGCACAGGGCGGGTAAGTGCAGCAAACGTCGGCCATACAAGATTGTTTGCGCGCATAGCGGCGGACGAGAGCGGGCGGAGTGAGGCGTGGACGGGCAGCGGACGGCAGGTGCGGACGGACACAAGGGCAGCCAACGCACGCGATGCTAGTGTCCGAGTGTCCGAGCTCCCCGTCGACGCGAGCCGAGTCTGGAGGTGGGGCACGCCCTGCCCCGTCTGTTGATTGGGCAGGGAGTGCGCATGTGCGCGGGGCGTCCGTGTCTGCTCATTTCCAGGCTTGTATGACGCAGACGGAGGACGTGCACGCGCACGGGCTTGCGTTGTGCCCTCGCGCCCTTGCTCGCTAGCGGTGCACGTCGGAGGGGAGACATCAATAAGAACCCCCGGGACGAAGATTCGCGCGTGTACCACTCACCTCTGCTCCCTCCTCCTTGTCCATCCGCCTGCCGTCGAGGTATGTCCCCCGCCTCCCTTCGTGCTGCATGCTGAAACTCGCCCGTTTTTGCAGTACCCTGACTGCAACCTCGATCGTCACCTCGTACAAGTCGGCTCCCGTACGTGGTTTCTACCAGTCCCGTCCATGCACACTCCACAGGCTTTAGATGCGCAAGACGGCGCCTGCGCAATGCACCCGCCCCCGGTGAGCTCGCGCACTCTCACCGCCGTGTCCCACTCACATCTCGTACCGCAGGTGTGAGGCAGCACACAACCAGCACACCAGCACGACAGACGTGCCGTGACCTCACCCGAATCGCACACGCATGCGCACCTTGTGCTCGCGACGTGTTGCCCATTGGTCTCGTCACCGCCGCTGCGAGGGTGTCGTCCGTACGTGCCACCTACATCTTTTCTCATCATGCGTAGCCTCGTCGTCACTCTCGTCCCAGTTCCAGCTCCAGCTGCAGCACCGTCGCGCACGAAGAGCCATGCGGCACACCACGAGGTACATACCCCGCTGCCGCGACGCCGTCATCCCCGCCTGACACGTCTTGTTCGTACCAGACCCACCAGTCGACGACACACAGGGAGGGCGGGTGCGGAGACAAGAGCTGTACGCGCCATTTTTCTGTAGTATAAAGCACAGGCCGCCGCGGGAGAGGAGTATACCGCGACGCACCACGCGTACGCAGATGTTGTGCACCGCACATCCCCGTTGTGGCCGGTGCGACGGCGTACGCCTGCCGCGCAAGAAACCCGGAGAGTGCTCTCGTTTGCGTCGCATTGCGCAGACACCACGCTCACCTTTCGCGACCGTGTCCAACAGGTACAAGAAAAGGCACAGCACATTGGACGCAATGCGGCGCAGATCACGGCGCGCCGCCGGACACCGTACGTGACTTCGTCCATAGCGAGTGGCAGATGTACTCACCGCGTGTGCACATTCGCAGGGACCACGGTTGGCGGGGCGTCGAGACTTGGAGGGATGGGGGCGGGGTAGCGTAGCGTACACGAGCCTGTATTCGGCTAGATAGTTTGCGCCCGTGGTGGAGGGCGCAGTGGGGAACGGCGGGGGCAGCGGCGCGGCGCACACGATGTGCCCCGACGCCTGAGCCGCGTCCCCAGCGCACGCCAGGCGATGTGTGTATGCGCCTGCGTCGTCAGCAGCCATGCCCCGCCTCCTTGCGGCCGTCGAACGGCGATCTCCACGCCGGCACGCGTCTGCGCCGTGCTCGGTCCCGAATGGCGCACGCAGCGGGTAGGTGTTTAACCTGGGGCGCCGCCTTCCCGACGAGATCCTGCCCCTGTACGGGTACGCGCCCGTGTTCTCCCGCATCCGGCGCACACTCCTCGCTCACCATGTGGCTCCAGGACACCTTCGTCGCCATGAAAACACGCCTGCCGCGCGAGAGACTCCGTGAGTGCTCTCGTTCGCGTCTCAACATGCAGATGGTACGCTCACCTTTGTCCAACAGGCGCGAGACCGAGCACGCCTCTCGAGAGCGCGCCTGCCACACAACAGACCCCGTAAGTGCTTCCATTCGCGTTGCAATGCGCAGACGACACCCTCACATCCCGTGTGCCCTTTTCTAGCAGGTACAAGAGCGCGCAGCACACCGGTCACGATACAGGTCGCGGCGCGCCTCGACAAACGGTACATACTTTGTCCATGACGAGCGGCAAATGTACTCACCACATGTCCGGATCCTCAGGGGCCAAAGCTGGCGGCGGGGCGTCGAGACTCTGAGGGAGGGATGCGGGCGAAGTGTATCTTACATTATCCTGTAGTCCGATAGATAGCTCGCGGCCGCGGCGTCGCACGCAGCGGAGAACGCGGTGGGAACGCGCGCGGACGACGTGCACCGACGCGCATCGCGCCCGCATGCATATGCGCCAAACGTGCGCAGCCGCGGCCGCGGCCACATCGTCAGCAGCCGTGCTCCCGTCTCCTCCTCGCCCGGGCGCGTCGAATGGTGATTTCCGCCCCAGAACGCGTCCGCTCCGTCCTCGGTGCCGAACAGCGGGCACGGCGGGTAGGTGCTTGTGGGTGCCCCGGCGCCCCGGCCTCCCACGGCGGTGCAGGGGAGCGGGGGCCCGGCGTCGCCCCGCCTTCGCCTTTGGTGCGGGTTCCGCCGCCGGGGTGCATACGATCCGGCTTGCTTCGGCGGGGAGGCACATCGTACCCTAGCAGTGCCCGCGCGGGAGTGCGGACGAGGTGCTCAAGGTGCTCCGTGAGGCTGGGAAGGCCGACGCCGCGTGGCTCCGTACGCCGCGGCGGAGAGCTGCAAGGAGAAGGTGAGCACGCTGTACACTTCCCCGCAACGGCTGTGCACTCACCGTCATGCACAGCGCCATCTATAGCTATCCGGCCGGGTCCCAGGCCTTGACGACGTCCCGCACGCGCCACTTGCGGGAACGTTCAAGACGCGGTCTCGAACCTCCGTGCGCGGAGCACCTGCGAGTGTCGGGAAGAGCCTTGGAGAGCTCTGTCGTGCATGCCAGCACTACGGTGAGTGTGCGAGCCCCGCGGCGTGCGCTGTACGGGGATCCTCGCGGCTCACCGCTATGGGCCACCATGAGTGCCAAATTCAAATCCCCCCGGACGGCCCCGCAACACGTTGACGCGTCGCAGGTACGGTATAGGAACTGATAAAAGAAGAAATCAGCGATCGCGGACGCGGTGTGCGGACAGGAGACCGGAAACGGAGGTCGCCGCGCACGCGCACATACGCCGACACGGACGACGCGGCCGCGACGTGCCCGATTCTTGCGCTAGTACAAGCACACATGTCACACAATACATATGATGAACACTCACCAGGGCTGCGCGGCGTGGAACGCGAGATATGGGCCGAAACAAAAATGTCCGATTCTTGAGCGCCTATTTACTGGCTGGGGGCGTCCGGCTCGAATCGACGATAGCGGCCGCTACGCCTAGTCTACGGCTTCGAGTTTGAATTAGGCGTGTCGTACTATGTCGGGGGCATCTGTGTGTGCAATGCGAGGGCGGTTTGCGCAGATTAGCTCGGGGCACGGCGGAGTTTGACGGCGGCAGTCGATTCGAGTGTGCGCATTTCGGCCTGCGAATGCATGTATCTGGTGCAGGGGTTCAGTGAGCGTGTAGAATGCAAGACACACCGAATTGGACTCGCTTTCGGAGGGCGGAGCGCGATTTTCATCGAACGAGCATATTGCTCTGCTCATAGCGCGGGCGGGCGGCTGTTTCTCCGCACGCGGCCGACCATAGGGCGTGCGCAGAGCACACGTCAAGCGCATGGGCGAGGTCGCCGGAGGGGGCGCAGCGGAGGCGTATATATATTGTCGAAAAGTCGGAGACTATCTGAGGATGGCAGACAGTGTGAGTAGCGTGAATGGCAGAGTTGCGAAAAAGCTCACTTTGCGGGCGTTCACTGACATTTCCCGGACGATATGGGTGTCGTTTTGCACGGGGGACGTCGGCGGAGTGGATGGAGCGCAGAGCGAGAAGGGCGGGCGAGTCGCAGCGAGAGGAGTGGCCTTGCGAACTTGGCAGACAGCGATGACCGAAGAAAGCGAGCGAGGCCTCAGCAAAGCAAGGTCGACGCGCGCATGCGCAGTGGACGCGATCGCAGAAAGAGACAGCTCGGATCCGAGCGAGTGTCGAGAGAGAGACGATGACGCCATGGCGGGACGCGTCTGAGCTGGGCGGCAGGCGTGGAAAGCGCGGGTTAGGGTCACGAGCCTGGTGAAGTCGGCGACGATGACAGCTTCCATGCGGGATAGCCTGGCGGCGGGTGCTCTTCTGCGATCCTATCTCATGCTGTCCTCTCGTATCTCTAGCCAGATATGCTCGCACTCGGACGGCTGCATCCTTCGACGACTTTTCCTTGGCCTATAGCACTCACTCTCTCGTTCTCTGGCGCCTGCGTTCCAGCTCCCATCGTCGAAAATCCGGCCCATGCCCTCCGCTCTCAGCTCGAATGGTTCGGTACTACTGTATATATCTAATCATGCATATAGCGATTATTGTAGCTAGCCACCACCCTCGACAATCTCGCCGTCGAGTCAATGGGCGTGCACGCGCACCGCTCTGCTCCCAACATGCAATACGGCCGTGTACGGCCCGGCGTCCTCCGGTGCGACGTTCTGCACAACGTCTCGATGTCTGTATTCTGCTAACACACCGCCCAAAACCCGTACCCACCTCGTTTCCCATCGCACACCGGCCTCGACACGACACAGAGGCACAGAGTCGATCTCACTACTCTTTGTGCCGCTACGAGCTCGCCTGCACGGTCTCAGACAGCCCCATCGAGCGCATATCACGCGTTTATCTCGCTCTGCGGTCATATCGCTCAATCGTCGAAACAAACTCGATTTGGCAACCTCTGTGACCGTCCTTGCGCGCGAATCACACCGTCTCCCGCATCCTACGCACCTCAAGGCCGCCAGTACGCTCTCGAGACGAAAACGAGCTCCGGGACGCCTCCAACGAGCCAGTGCACGCCCCACGGCTGCCACCCTCGCCCTGTACCCCGCTCATTCCGCCAGGATATCCCAGGACATCCACCCGCCCTCTCTACGACATCACAGAGGTCTGCAGCCCGCCCACTCCTGGCTCAAACCGTACGCCATCGCGCATCTCCTGCGCTCGGGTAGGCGCCCACCGTTCGCCCTCTTAGGCAGCTCGCCAGCGGGTACGTCTGTGGCCTCACTACTAATACAAGATTCGAAGCTGACATTTACTCGAGTCTAGAAACACGATTTGTAGCGCGGCACACGCATGCACATCGCACGGGACGCAATGGTGCACTCGCGGGAAGCACAACATGCTGAGCGACTCGCCGCGAAACTGTCGTGGATCGAAAGAGGGCGCCTGACACTCTTAGGATGCGAAGGAATCACGGAAGCCGGGACGTCGCGCGCAATCTCGTGCGCGAGCTGCGACGTCCCACAGGCGCCTAACCGCCGCTCTCTCTCCTTCATTGTCATGCCAGCCTCCCTCCACCTGGGCCCACCCAAATCCTGCGCGAATTGGCTGGACGACACAAAAATAGGTCAGTTTGTGCGCTTTTCTGCACAATTCGACGAACTCACCGCATGCGCCCTTGTGACACCGCCAGCCGGTCCCGGTCGCCTCCGAACGGCTTAATTCCTTCGACGACCACCCGGAAGACCTGCATCGAGGTGCTTTAGCGAGAATATCGACGCAAATCAACGAGCAGGCTCACCGCATACGAGGTCTCCACGCCACGAGACGCCTGGGCGAGCTCCCAACACCGCGGACATCAACCAGCATGGCCCGAGGCACGAGTCCTTGGACTACACGAACAAACAGCTACGTACGGCTACATTACGACAATCCTGGTGTCCCGCGCGACCACTGCGCGTCGCCGCCCTCTCCCTCTCCTGCGACACCAGTCAGCTGCAGCGCGACCCTGGGATGGAGGTGAGTCGGTGCAGCGCTCCCCACACAAGAAAGGAGCGGAACTCACCGTCCTCGTGCTCGTGGACGCATCGGCAGGCACCTCCGGTCGGCTGGGAATGCGGAACAGTGAGAGACCGGCCCTGCGCAGCGAGGAATGAGCCCGGTACATGCCTCCCATCGAACTTGTCTCCCTGCGGATCCTGACGCTTGGGAAGCTATAGGAACGCGTTAGACGGGCGCAAGGGGCTCGTATGCGGACTCACCGGAGCCGACAATGAGACGAAGAGAGGTGGGACGGCTGGGGGCCCTGTACGCGCCGCGGCGGGCATGATGAGGTGAGTGCGAGGACGACGAGCGAGCGACAGACGGTGCGCACACGTCCGCAGGTGTGTGAGGCAAGCACCGGGGGAGAGAGGAAGGTGGGAGAGGGTGGGGCGTGCAGCTCGACGTGGGTGCGCACCTGGCTTATATACGATCGCGATCGGCACGTACGCGGCGCCCTTTGCCCACCATCCGGCCTCACAGAGTCGGGAGAGCATGTGGGGCCCTCATGCGCCCCCGGCTCGCGTTGCCTGCGAGGACGTAACACGCCGACGCGCGCGGACGATGCAGCAGGGTCGATGCGACGGCGAACTCGGGGCTCGGAGCTGCGGGATGCGCGGATATCGTTTCGAGGCCCGCGGGTCTGCGATGCGAGCGTCCTCAGCACACAAGGTCGGTGCTGTCGTGTACACGACCCCGGACGTCTAGGTGGGTCTTTGTACGCGGCTTCGGCGTGTCTCCACCGTACACTGACTGGCTCGGGCATGCACAGGCACCCACAGTGCACAATTGGAGTTCAAGAAGGTGCACCACAGCGCGTGGGCATGTTGAGACTCGAGAGGACGGCGGGCGGGCGCCCGGACGTTCCAGCATCCTGCACAAGACAGGGTGCATTCGGGGCGACGCGGGACACCTTATTCCACGCACATTCACCCGGACGTCCAGGACGACGGCTGCGTTGCAGAACTGCGACGGGCACGGATACCGCCCCCGGCGCCCGCTCTTTGTGCGCCCCAAACGTGTTGTACGCCGCCCACTTTCAGCACGTGGCGCAGCGCTGCACGACGATGTCCCTGGACATGACATGGCCAAATAGCGGCGTGTTGCGGGCGCCGTCATGCGCCTCTGGGTGTCGCAGTGATGCGCACCGTCCTCAAACTTACTCCACGTGCGGAACATTTCCTGTCGAAGGTGAGTGCTTCTGCCCTCGGTTTCGAGTGCCATGCGGGGGATGTCGGGTGTGATGTGGGCTGGGCTTGACGGTGCAGAGAGGAGACGTGCGGGACGATGGCGGGGAAGGCTGCCGGACGTGCACAGCACGTCCATCTGCGGTGAGACAGCCCTGATGATGCGGCAGACGGCGGCTAGCGTGATGAGGTCTCTGCATCGCCGTGCTATACGAAATAGACTGGTGAGCACGAGCAGCGAGCTGAGAGTGGCATCTGGCACTTACCGAGAGTGTCGGGAGCGCCGTTTTGGTCATTGAGTTGACCGGTTTTCGTCTCCAGGTACGCGCCGCAACGAGTGCATGATAGGCGAAGATGCCCGACACCCGCGCAGAAGAGCGCGTGGCAAAGGGAGGTGTGGCGCGCGGCACGGCAGAGCGTGCAGCGTCGCTGGACAACGCAGACATCCTGCTGGGAAGGTGAGCACGCACACGGAGTCACGTTTGAGCTCACACTCACCTCCGTGCACCAGAGCGGCGGCGGCGCAGCGGACCGCGAGCGCAGCCGATGGGCGCCATGTTGGAGGTCTGCGTGGTGGGAGGAGCCGGGCGCGGATGCAGTTCCGCATCGCGCGGCGAAGGGAGCGTCCTGGAGTACGAGGTAAGCACGCAGAAACTCGTTCGTATGCACGACCACTCACCATAGCAACAAGGGCTGGCTCTGCGGCGGATGCAACGTCAAAGGCTGATGCAAACAGCACTGTTCCCTCGTGCGTGCTTTGTGAGTATGCACATGCCGCCTTCCGGAATACGCACTTACCTGTGCACGTACCAGGGCAGCTGCGAGCGTCGAGACTAGAACTGGGCATGCCAGCGCAGCCGTGCACAAGGACCACTGTCAGTGCCAGGTAAGGAGACAGAGACTTACCGGTGGCAGGGCGTCGAATACGACTGATGACTCGGAGTCAGTGTCGATCTCGCAGGCGGACCGGGAGTCCTGCGACTTCGGCAAGCACTGCAAGTTCCCACCAGCGTCGTCGAGACTCGAGGCCACCCCGGAGGTACGGGCCAGGGTGATTCAGGGAGATGGGAGACAAGAACGTGCCGGCGGGGGTGGCGGTGCGGGAGCAAGCCCGAGTCGCGATTGGCGAACTCGGACTCGAGTTATGGGCACCGCGTGTGCGCCTACATCTGCGCCCTCCTTCTCCCGTCTCCCCACGACTGCGTGGCGGCCACCAAGGTACGACCTGCATCGCCGTGGCAGTCCAGCGATTACTGATGCTGTTTAGGTTGTCTGTGCTTCCCCTCGTATCCCATGACGCGAGCGTCTGAGTGCCCACGGGAGCTCGAAGTCATTCTGGCTCTGGGGCTTCCCGGGCTGCTCTCGACACTCCCACTCTCGCATTAGCAGCCACCCAACGACGCAGCCCAGCTCTTACGTGTACGATATGACCCTAGGGACTCCATCTACGCGATTTGGGCGTCACACGGCTCTTGCAGAGATCCCGGCGGCAGACTCAGCTCCAACAGCCCATTCCCGGGCCCTCAACACTTCCCTGCTCGATCCACGACGACGGCACGTCGCAGCGGCATCTAACAGTGCTTATCGGCTCTGTATTACACTGTGAGAACTCCTCGCTGGACTTTGACATCCCAAGACTCTTGTGAGCGGCCCGACTCGGCTGGACTAGGCTCTCACGGCCCCGACACTCCCGATCTCTGTTCCACGACAACGCCGCATCGCAGCCGTGTTCCAACGCATTCCTCCGGGCGACACACCTCTGAGACTCCCGCATGCGAGATCTCGGGGCCCCATGACTTCCTCCACACACTCCACAGGCGGTTGAGTGGTGGGTAGCGCATGGGTGCCTATCTGGGCATCGTCTGCCCGTTGACTCTGAGGGCTTCCCGATGGCCCCTCACTGCGCAGAGATTCGGGATCTCGAGCACACTTTCTGTGGGGGATTTCCAAGGTACGATGCGCGTTTTTTAAGTGATTCGATTTCTCTAACACGCCTGGCAGCCGTCAGCCCAGCTGCACTTGTCTCCACGGGCAGCTCTTCCTCCTCTCCTTCGAGTCCGCGAGGGTGCTGCGATGCAGCCGCGCTCTTCCTCCCTCACACATGATATGACCCCTCGGCTCCCCGCGTAAGCGATCTTGGCGCCCTACGGCACTTGCGAACAGTCTCTGGCTCCCTGGATGCGCTATGATTGAGTACACACTCGTCGCACGGGTTCGGCATCCTAGCCTGTCCACGAAGCGCTCAGAACTCGGCTCGACTCCAGCCACCACTCTGCGCGCCCCCTCACTCTCCCGTGCTCTATTCCGCCACACGGCCACCTTACAGCCGCGTCTGTCCGGCGCGTACAACACAGAACAGTACTCGGGTACCTATGTGCAAAGTTCTGGGGCGATACGACCTCTGCGACACTCTGGAGCTCCGAATCTGTCCCCCACCGCTATCTCTTCACCCCTTGACTCTCCCCTTTGCGAATCCACGACGACGCGCACGCGTTTAGTTGCTCCCTCGCACGATATGACTCAGGGCCATCCGTGTGCGCCATTCCAGCACCCCAAGACCTCTGCAACTCGCTCCAGGCCCGGCCTTGCACCCACAGCCACTCCGAGGCTCCCGTATCTTTCTGTCTCAATCCACGTCAAGGCAATGGTGCAGCCGGGTTTGGACTGTATCTATGGTGATCTACAATGCTTGGCGACACGCACGGGCGATCAGGGCATCTGCACGGGACTGGGGGCTGGACTTGGCTGCAACAGCGACTTCAGGCGCTCCCCGAGAGTTCTGCTCTCGAATCCGCCATTTCGCGACGTCTCATTCGCGTTTTCTCGACACACCTAGAACGGTACGATGCTCTGCTATCCTCGTGCAAAATTCGCGGGCGAAACGGCCCCTGGAACGCGCTCGAGCGTCGGATTTTGCCCCAAGAGCCACTTTAGGCACCCTTCGACGATCCCACTCTCGATTCCACCAGAACGCGACATCTCAGCCGAGTCGAGGCGAAGCGTACATGATGGATCAGTACTACGCTACCCACACGCGGAGTAATGCGAAGGAACGACACCTGTAATGTCCTCGGCGGCTGGACTTTGCTGCCACAGCCAGTCCCCGACGCCCCCGGACTCTCTCTGCGCAATTTGCGCCAATGCATCCGCGTCAAGACACCAAATATGAAACACCTCAATGCAGGGCTATGTGGTCGCGCGCTTTCGACGCGCCAGGATGCCTGCTCGGTGCGCGAGGGGAGAGGCCGGCGGAACTCCCCTCCCCCGGGCCTCTGGACAATTGCCGCGCATTTTCGCGATGACGCGCACGGCGCATGGGTGTACGTTGTTCTTCAGACATTTTATGATACAGCGCACTTTGTTTCGCGCGATCTCGGCGTCCTTTGAGCGGCGGGGAGGTGTTCGAGTTGGGGCTCCCCGGGACTTGTTCCCCTTCTGTAGTGCATATTTTTTGTCGCCCAGCCCTGAGACTCTTACCCTGTACAGTACGAGTGCCATAGTATGCAATAAAATGCGATTTGGCCGTTGAAAGTGCGCATTTCGAACTTCAAGTCCACTGCCCCTCCTCCCCCTCCCGACTCCATACGCACCCTGTTTCAATGGAGACATCCCCCAGAGCCAGAGTCCGTTGCTCTTGTCGCGGCCGTCTTTGCACGTGCACCGCCGCGCACGCGCACAGTCCGCCGCAAAACAGCCCGCCGCACGTCTCGGGGGCGGCGTGAATGCCCTGGTCGCCGCACGGGCGCGGCTGAGGGTGAAGGGGGGTAAAATGGTGGTGGTGGGGAGGAAGAGAAAGTGGACCGCAGTTGGAGCCGGATGGGCCCTGCGCTCTGCCTGCGTGGCTGGCAGGTAAGCCTGTATTCCTTCGACTGCCCGCTCGCGTTCTGACCTGCGCGTGCTCCAGACTCCGTCCGCCCTGTCAGAAGGCTCATTACACAGCCGCGGCCCCGAGTCGTCCTTCTGGCGCAGGGCCATCTCCGTCCCGACGTCTGCGGCCCCGCTATCGAAGCCCCGCGCGCACCGACGTGTTCTGCACCCGTCCTACTTAGTTTCCTCTTGCCGCGGGGGCACTGGCCGTAGGCGTTGAGGCGCTCCGCAATGCGCACGCGTACGAGTGCGCTCGGGGCTGTGTGAGGCCGTGGGAGGCCCGGCTCACGACGTCCGACGCATGCGGCAGATTTGCCGCCGCGAAGGTTTGGGCATGAAGAGAAGGGATCTGCATTGAGGTAAGTTTTTGGGCATGCTCGCGGTGAGTGGATGCAGACTTACCTGTCGTGAATGTGTGTAGCTTCACGAGGGCGGCCAGGCACCGTTGAGGCGAGATTACGAGCTCTACAGGAGGAGACATGAGCACGGGGCGAGGGCAAGACATGGGGAACGGACCTGTTTGGGGTCGACGAGGTACGCTGCTCGCTCGTATCGCCGCGGCTGCGCGAGTCTTGACATCCACGACCAGTTTCCCACCCGCGGTGCCTAGCCTTCTCGAGATGCTCTTTCCGCGCAGAGGAAGCCTTCAATACGCGACTTGGGGTGCCAATGTTTCGTGTACCGCCGCGGTCTTGTCGTCCGGGGATGGGCACGTACGCGGGAGTGCTCCACAGCATCGTGAGATCTGCGAAATCGCCACGAGTTCGGAGTCTTCGCCGCTCGCGGGCACCGGCACGAACTTACGAAGGTCTTGCAGATTCCCAGGGCGAGCCTCGTCTGATGATCTTGACATACGGGTGCTGTGGAAGGGCGGTGAGCACGGGTCGATGCAAAGACGATTAGGATTCTACCTCGGTGATATTGATGCGCACGTCTCGCTCGCGTGGCCGCTGTTGCACGAGCTGAGTCCCAGCCCCAGTCGCCCTCTCCCGCGAGCGTCGAGTGATCGTCTCCGCGCGGCCTTTCCACGCCTGCGACATAGGGGCAGACAGGCCTTCACGACAACATACGGGCGCGAGAGACAGCGAATTTCAAGCGCTAAAGAAGGGGCTATGAACACGAGTCGGAGCGGGACGTGGGCTGCTGACTTGCCTGGTGTCGACGAGGTACGAGGTACGTCGCCTCGCATCTCTGCTGCCGCACGAGTCTGACTCATGTCGTGTTCTCGTTAATTCGTCGTCTCCGAGGGCTTGTCCGCCGCGTGCCGGAGCAGACTTCTATCCGCGACTCGGGGCGCCAGTACTCGCTGCGATCTTGTCGCATGGGAGCTGTGCGCGCGCGGAAGGGCGAGATTGGGTCTCCTGGGACGTGTCCGCCAGTCTGGTGCGTCCGCCGCGCGAAGGACGTCCGTGCGCCGATCTAGGAGCTTCCGATCAGTTTGTAGCTGTACCTGCTCACGGACGCGATATCAGCCCAGACTTACCTAAGTCTGCTAGACGAATCTCGACAGTTGACACTTTTGACAAAGTCGGGACGCAAGCACTGGCAAGGGTGCGGTGAGTCTGCGCACGCGCCGCTCGTGCGCGTCTAACGAAACCCTGCAGATGCGAGACGGTCAGGATCGCGGAGGATGCGTTGCTCGGCGCGGAATATGACTGATTCAGTCCTCGTGGGGTATGGGCCACCACTGACGAGTCCGCGCTTCCAGGCAGCCGCGTACCGCATCCAGATGCCTGTGGAGGTGCACACGCACGGTGAGTGTCAGTCGTCTCGCGTCGAGAGTGTCCCGCTGACTCACGGGATTGACAGGCTCACGCTGCGAGGTCGACGAAGCCCCGACAAGTGTTGATGGCGTGTACAAGGGTGGGTACGGGCTGGGAGAGAGAAGGAGGGCGGTGGAGTCGTATCGTAGCCCTACATAATAGACAGGTGCAGCAGAGCACGGTCTGCGCGGTGTTCGCGGCCCAACAGGTTCACCGGCACTCGCACCGCTCCCTCAGCGCGTATGCCTGGTACCTGGTGTGTCAGCTGGTCGGTATTTGTCGATAAGCTCGACGACTTACTGCGCTACAGGTCGCCGGTGCGAATCTTGAAGAACAGCGGCCGGTCCTCGGAGATTCAGGCCAGCTGAGGTGTGGTAAGTGCCCAGACGCCGCCAGGCCAGGTGAGTGCTTTAAATGCCGTGAATGAGTTCGCGTCTCACCTCGTAGCAGATAGCAGTAGCCGTCCGCGCAAGAATTGGGGCGTTTGGCGAGGTTGGAGACCGGCAGGAGGGTGGTCGACAGAGGACGGCTTTTAGGCGCCCATCGGACGTCGCAGGACGCGGACGAGATAGCGCGCGACGTCCCGGATCGTAGAGCTTGTAGATGGACTTGTAGTGGTCTTACGGTGCAGCATAAATGATATATGGTGTTACTGAACGAATACGGGGTGGAAGAATGAGCGTACAAGGGCATGTAGCGGGGAGAAGGAGGACCTACCACTTGTACAACATGAGTTTTCGCATCCGATTAACGTAGATTCCGGAGCAGGCTAGTACGCACGTTGTTCCTCCCGCGCATCGCGCACTGCGGCCGTGTCCTCGCCTCTGGCGCGCATCGCAGAAGTGTTCCGGCTGCAAAGGATGTTTCTGTGCTCGAATAGACGTCAGGAACATATCTCATATCAGTGGACAGGGCGCATACACACCCGTTGAGGAGCTGCCCAAGAGGGGTGCACTGGGGTGCCTATTCCAGCGAAAGACGCCGCCGTCGAGATGGTGTGGTAGCTTATGTGTCTAGCGCAGGCTTCAGACGTCTGGGGCATCGCAGAGAGTGACATCTGATGGCCCCAGATGTCCTGGACGTGTGGGGAGAGTGCCGGGAGCGAGCAGGAGACATACTGGAGCTTGCAGGACGACTCCGAGGTCGAGCTAGGCCAAGTGCATGCGCTAGATGCAAAAACCGCGAGCTCTGGCGTCCAGAGTGGTCGCTGTGGGTCGCCGCAGTGTTCTAGCAGCAGTGGTGGGGTCCAGGATGCGAAAGAGAGCAAGAATGAAGCGGGAGAGCGGTCGCAGGGGAGCCCAGAGCGGCCAGTTCGAGTCCAAGTGCATGGGCAACCAAGGCACGCGCCACAGAGCGAGCAGCATCGATCGAGTGAATGCGAGAGTGGCAAGCCAGAGTCAGCCGGAGATACGAGTAGACAAGCGGGACAGACGGCGAGAGAGCATCGAGCAAGAGCTATGCGAGAGCGATCCCGGCCAAGACGGAACCCTAACCTGGGCCGAGGTGCCGGCCAAGTGCGTCACTGGGCGCCTTCTTCCCCACACTCGACGACCTCGACCTCGCGCTCATCTTCTCCCGCGCCCTCGACCACTTCGACTGCCATTGCTGCTGAACGCTGAACGTCCCGGTCTATGCTTTCCTCTCTCGTCCGCCATCCATTGCGGCGGCTCACCTCCGCGATGCTCTCGCATCCTGCACGCACATCGAGCTACTCTACCGCGTCCGGAGCCCGCCAAGCATCCCGCACCCACCGACACGCTCACTGCGCGGCCTTCATCGTCGTCGGTGCAAGTCTCGCATACGGCCTCAACCGCGAGCTCAACGTGTACCGCTGCAAGACCAGGAGAGATGAGTTGCAGTGGTATTGGACAAGACGAGAATGGAACATGGGCGCGGAAACAGGTGTGTACTGTCCGTGGTTTCTCGGCTACGTGCTGCGAGCTCGAAGAACGTACTGGCGCCTGGCCGGCCCGGGTTTGTGCTGGGCCTAGATCTACACGCCTCCCTTGTGCATCAACCCTGCGTGGCCCTGCCACGCGCGACCGTAAAGCTCGGTCGTTGTTGTCTTCCGCTTCTTTGTCGTGTCCTGTGTCCTGCCCCGCTCCCTGCTCACCTCTCACTATGTCTGCCACCACTACACCTGCCACGTCCGAGCATTCCGAAGGCCACGCTGAGCGTGCACTCGCGCTCCTGGATGACACGCTGGAGCCCCTGTGGATGGCCGAGCCGGGTGGGGTTGCAGACGACGCCGACTACCGGCATTGGGCTAGGCAGGTTGCAGTCGCCCTGGTACGTCCCGCACATCATCCATTGTATGCACATTGACTCACTACTCCCGTAGGATACTGCAGGTGTCTCTGGCGTCAAGGCTACATGTGTCGCGGAGTACGCCGACCGCCTCCACCAGGTGGTGGTCAGCCGGCTGCCCGACAATCGCAAGGACTGGGAGGACTGGGCATGCGGTGTGTTGCTGCAGGCGGACATGCGCGCCCGGGCCGCCGAGTATGCCGGTCATGCAACCGTTGAGGAGGCCCACTGCTCTCCGATGCCTCCACCTACTGCTCCCGTCGCACCGCCACCCGAACCGGGTCATGCTCCTGTTGTGCCACGCCCTAAGGTCTCGTCCACCGCTCGGCAAGTGTTGGCGCATGTTGAGATCCCACCTCGTGCGCTGTCTGCCACGTCCACCGCCATAATTACCGCCTCGTCTCGCAAGCGTGGGCGCACGTTGTCTGCTGCCGCAACCGGGCAAGACCCTCTTGTCCTCAACGATGAATTGGATAAGTTGGAGGAGGTCTCTGCACTTGCGCACACCACGCGCTTTGCGGTACACAGCAGGTCTTCCAGTGCCGTGCGGCCTGCAAAGAAGGTCAAGAAGGTCAGCAACCTGCCGACCGCGCCGGAGCCGCAACTCCTGACAAACTGGGTGGTAAGTTGTATCATGGGCTGTGGGCTACGCGCTAATCGCACCATTTTGAGTACAGCAGTACCCACGCTGCGCACGCTGCAACTCAAAGGAGCGTATTTGTGTCCTCCCAGGCAGTCCCGCGCAAAGCTGCCATCGCTGCTCCAACAGCCACAAGGCGTGCCTTGTGCAGGACACGAATGCTTCATATGCAAAATGGTACGATAGCCAGGGGTACCCACGTGGTGAGTCATACTTGCTCTCTGCACAGCTCGCATTGCTGACACCCAGACTAGCGGTCACCATCACCAACAAGGCAGGCCAGGTCGTCTCTGCCAATTTCTTGGAGCCATCATCCCAGGCCAACTCCAATCCTGCTGGATTCACTGGGAAGGGCAAGGGTAGGGCATTGAAGGTGCATGCTGTTGGGTCGTCTGCGGTGAGTGGACCTTTGCACCTTGTCACCAGCTGCTTGCTAACTTTCTCATAGGGTACGCCAACTGGGGCTCCCACGGGAGGATCTGCATACCTGCGTGGGGCAGCACTTGATAGCGCGCGTGTCGAGCTGAGCATGCTCCGCCTTCGCCGCACTGCCCTTGATGCACAGATCAGCAAGGTGGAGCAGTACGTCCATGACCTGCACAATGAGCAGGGCAGGTTGTCGTTGCCTTTCCTGGAAGATGATGAGTAAGTGAGCGCTGGAGGGGAGGAATCAAGTTCTCGGGCTGGCCTGTAAGGTGGTAAAAGCATAAAATAGATAGCTGCATAAATGGTCAATGTCTACGCACGGTTGCATGCAGAGTGTCAGTTTTACTAGTTGAAGGTGCGGGCCTCTGTACTGATGTGTAGTACCGCCCTGCCACTGTTGGCCAACTTCCAAAAAGTCAGGAAATGATCTAATATGCACGCGGCAGGTGAGCTTGAGCAGCAGGCATGTGTACCATGCCGGGACCATGGTGGGGCGTGCGTCGACCAATTTTGTACACCGTTGCATGGCGGGCGGGACGCAGACGGGCATGCTGCGGCCCGTTTTGTACCTCGTTGCGTGGTGGGCGGGACGCAGCAGGGCGGAGAGCAGCAGGGCGTGCGTCGGCGCGTTTTGCTCTCCGTTGCGTGGCGGGCGGGACGCAGCAGGGCGGAGAGCGGCAGGGCGCGCGTCGGCGCATTTTGCACTCCATTGCGTGGCGAGCGGGATTCAGACGGGCATGCTGCGGCCCATTTTGTACCTCGTTGCGTGGCGAGCGGGACACAGCAGGGCGGAGAGCAGTAGGGCGCGCGTCGGCGCATTTTGCTCTCCGTTGCGTGGCGGGCGGGATGCAGACGGGCATGCTGCGGCCCGTTTTGTACCTCGTTGCGTGGCGGGCGGGACGCAGCAGGGCGGAGAGCAGCAGGGCGCGCGTCGGCGCGTTTTGCTCTCCGTTGCATGGCGGGCGGGATGCAGACGGGCATGCTGCGGCCCGTTTTGTACCTCGTTGCGTGGCGGGCGGGACGCAGCAGGGCGGAGAGCAGCAGGGCACGCGTCGGCGCGTTTTGCTCTCCGTTGCGTGGCGAGCGGGACGCAGACGGGCGGAGAGTGGCAGGGCGCGCGTCGGCGCGTTTTGCTCTCCGTTGCGTGGCGGGCGGGATGCAGACGGGCATGCTGCGGCCCGTTTTGTACCTCGTTGCGTGGCGGGCGGGACGCAGCAGGGCGGAGAGCAGCAGGGCGCGCGTCGGCGCGTTTTGCTCTCCGTTGCGTGGCGAGCGGGACGCAGACGGGCGGAGAGTGGCAGGGCGCGCGTCGGCGCGTTTTGCTCTCCGTTGCGTGGCGGGCGGGATGCAGACGGGCATGCTGCGGCCCGTTTTGTACCTCGTTGCGTGGCGGGCGGGGACGCAGCAGGGCGGAGAGCAGCAGGGCATGCGTCGGCGCGTTTTGCTCTCCGTTGCGTGGCGAGCGGGACGCAGACGGGCGGAGAGTGGCAGGGCGCGCGTCGGCGCGTTTGCTCTCCGTTGCGTGGCGGGC